AAATATGGAGAACTTAATCAGCTTTGATGTTTATGATTAAGTATTCACTTTTTGTGGGAAGGTGAGAAGCACCAGTGAAGATTCATCAAATTGAACATTCGCGGCCGAAGGAAAAATATTCGAAGTGACTATTCACAGTTCTCTGACTGCGGCCAACTGCATTATAACTATTTGCAGTTGTAACTGCAAATAGTGCACAGCAATTATACGCAGTCAAAACTGCGCACAGCAATCATCACACTATTCGCAGTTACAACTGCAAATAGTAAAAATACCTTCCAACACAGTCACAACTGCGCCCAGTGCCTAATTTACTATTTGCAGTCAGAACCTAGAGTTTAAAGGTTTAAAGCTATTTCTCCCCGGGGGTATCCAGCGACCTACAACCTTGAATTGATGGGGGTGGGGCTAAGATACACCCCATCTTAAAACTAAATGCGGTTAAAAATTAAGTCCTATTTTTCCTCACACACATGCGTACAAAGTGAAAGTTTCCCCCCCCCCTTTCCCCTCCATATCCGGGACCCAGCCGCAAGGGCCCCTGGCCGCAAGGGCTCGACGTCCAACAGGCAGCCGCCCGGCCCCCACCCCCCACCCACTCTCTCCGCACTGCTCGTTTGGCGGGAAGACACTGTTTACTGGACGGCAACAACGGTGTCTGAGCATACGAGACGTTTACGCCTGGAAGGAAAGCAATTGCGAGCGGTTTTATTTGGTTGAATTTTGTCTCTCTCTGGTCTTGATATTGGTTTATTGTGAGGTAAGTATTATTGTGTTTACATTGAAGATTACTGATCTTTTGGCACACGTTTCATGTTAAGATTTTTAGACTCGTGTGTAGGTTAGGCGTCTCTTTACCTGGCCCCAGCTCTATTCAGACTGAATGAAGTGACCATTGCTTGGTTCTAAACTTGTCATCGTGTTTTTGTCAATGTAGTATCGTATGGACGAAATGGACTTGGAGGGCGAAGCGGACGAAGTGGGTGTGGACGATGGTCCTGCTCCTCTGAAAGTAGGGGCCACATACAAAACCTACAAAGCCTTTGAAACTGCTTTGGAAGCATACCAGAAGAAGCATTCTGTAGTTTTGGTAAACTACAGTTCTAAGTTGGCAGAAAAGCACAACTTAGATCACAAAGATAAAGTGGATCTTTCCTTAAAGTATCATCACCTTGTCGTGGTATGCAAACATTTTGGTAAAAAGAGGAAAAATCCAAAGGCTACAAACCAGAGGCCTAATCAGAAGTATGTGTATAATATTCATCCCTGTATGTTTTATGTGTGTTAAACTTACTGTGTTTGTGGTTAATCACTAGCTGTCCCTCTCTTTTAGAACATTCAAGGTAGATTGCAAATGTAAGTTGTATCTGAAGGCTACCGAGGAACAGGTTCTCATTGTTGATACGTTCAATGAGGAACATACAAACCACCCTGTGGATCAGAAATTATTTCCCATGTACCCTGAAAGGCGGCGGCTTGATGAAGATGAGCGTCACAAGGTGGAGGAAATGCTTGGTGCTAAAGCGAAGGCAATGTTGGTGCAAGCTACATTAAAGAAGTTCACTACACCTCAGGACATTGCCAATGTCAGGTAATCTTTGAAGTAGGATTTGTTTACTCAAAGGACTCTGCAGTACTCCAACCGTTTCTTTTTTCTGTATAATTTAATCAATTTATTCTCCGATGCAGGACCCGTTTAAGATTACAGACCAACAAAAAATTTAAATCCAATATGGATCATTTGTATGCAGTGTTGACGGAAATCAGTGAATCTGGAGGCACAGTAATTATTGGTGAAGAAAGAGGAGATGATAATGATGAGGAGGAGGAGGATGAGGATGATAGTGATGAAACCAACAATGACAGGCGTAACACAGACAGAAAGAAAAAAATCCTATTCATTTTTTTTCAAACAGCAGAAATGGCTAAAAACTTCCAAGAATACCCTGAGGTGGTTGGGATGGACACAACCTACTGTGTTAATGCCAACAATATGCCTTTGGTAGTATTCCGGGTCACTGACCGGTACGGTAAAGGTAAAGCAGCTGGTTATTGCATAGTTGCAAATGAAAAACTGGATATTATGAAGGAATCGGTCATGGCCTTCAAAGAGGCTAACAGTGACCACATTCAGGAAGTCCAGACAATTCTAGTTGATAAAGATTATAATGAAATCACTGTTGTGAAAGAAATCCTACCATGGGTACACATTCATCTATGTAGTGTTCACGTGTTGGGAACATTCAAAAAGGCAACCAAAGAGGAAACCCAAAAAGAAGAGCTTAGGGAAATTTTACAGAAGATGGTCTACTCGATGACTGAAGAAAGATATAAAGAGCTGTGTGATAGTCTACCAAGTGTCGCGTCAGAGACATTTTTAGATTATTTTAATGATAATTGGGCTAACTATGGTGCGTCTTGGGCTTGCTATGATCGGCTTAATTCTCTGAACCTTGGCCAAAGAACTAATAATGCAGTGGAATCACACAATCAAAAAATAAAAACCATTGTCAGCAGAAGAAACTCGTTGCCAGAGCTAATTAAGGCTCTCTTAATTTTGCAAGTAAGCTGTGATAATGTGACAAATTACAATGATTTCCTGGGCCTTATGAAGATGTCCTATAGAACTGACACTACTGACCCAAACATTAAACTGATGCTGAACTCTGCCACACCCTTTGCTGCAGAATGCATGCGAGTAGAGTATCAGGAAGGGCTGAGAAGAGTAAAGCTCCCTGACAATGTGAATTACAAGAATTGGCAACCCACTCTCAAGGATTGCCCTTGCCCAATTTTCAAAGAGCGGCGTCTGCCGTGTAGACATATGTTCTGTTTCCGTGTCCAGAAAGGTACTTAGAAATCTGTTATGGTGTAAATTTTGTGCAGTGCCATAACATTACTAATTATCTTGTTTGTTTTAGATGTTACCGTCTTTTCTTCGGTGGATGTGCCTTCTAGATGGCAAACTGTGTCAGAAGATAACTTTAGGACAAGGCAGGAGGATATGCCTACATCATATATACCTGATGGTATTTTGAGAACTGAAGTTTTGAAGACAGGAGGGAAACCTCTTAATCAGCGGGAGCGATATAAAGAGGCCAGTGACTTGGCCCTGGAAGCTGCAAAAGCTGTAGCATATTGTGCTGGCAAGCAATATGCCAGTCGAATGAAATGCCTTGATGATATCATTCAGATTTGGCTTCGGGGAAAGGAAGCTGTGGTCTTGGAGGCTGGCAAGGGTAATAATGGCATTGTTGTAATTGATGTGGTAGAACAAGACACCCAGGAAGTGGATTCTTCTGCAATTGGTAAGCTCTTAGTTAATCATGAAATTCAAATGTTCTTGTCTTTAGACTGATTGATGACATTTTGTTTGTAGATGATGTGAGAAACAAAGACACTCAGCCAGGCAATGGAGTGGATCATTCTACTTCTGGTAAGCTCTTAGTTAAACATGAACAATAGTTCTTCTTTATGTCTTTTGACTGGTACGTGTCATTTTATTTTTAGATGTGAGAAATGAAGACGCTCAGCAAGCTAATGAAGAAAATTGTTCTTCCACTGGTAGGCTCCCAGTTAATTTTAAAATTATTTAGTTCTTGCGTATGTCTTTGGACTGACACGTGACATTTCGTTTTTAGATGATATGAGCAGAAATGATAACATCACAACAATTCCAGAAAATGATACCTGCAGGAGTGATGCTAATCCTACTTCTGGTAAACTCCAATTTAATTTCTAAATAAATGATTTAGTTCTATTTTGTGAGCTGGATTTGATTTATGATGTGGTGTTTCAGATGATTTGAGAAATATTAGTACAACTGCACTGACACAAAAAGTTGTAGGGGGTAAGTTTCCTGATTATTACTTTTCCTGGATTTACAGTTGCATTATTAAGATAACAATTTCTTTCAGCATCTAACAAATACACCCCTTTAACGGCCAAACAAATGCGAAAGCTCAAGGTTCAAGAGGGCAACAAAGTGAGAGGTCGACCTAAGGGTCAAGTGTTGACTAGAATTGGTCTTAAAAAAAAGGTGGTTAAAAAAGGTATGTAGAAAACATTTTTCTTTTATCAGATATTCCTTGTAGTTTCATCCTCTCTTTGAATTTTACTTTCTTTATGTTTCGGCAGTGGAATGTGATGTTTGCAAGGAAAAGGGTGTGTGGCGAAAATCCACCTTAAGGATAAGTGGTGGTACAAATGATTTTTTTTTATGTCCTGGTTGCCGAGGTACTATAGAGTGATATTTGACTTTATTTTTAAACTAATCTGATGTAGTGGGATGAACAAGTTACATGTCATTCTTTGTCTTAAATTATTTAGATGAATTCATGGATGAAATGTTGCCATCCGCTGAAGAGGAGGAAAGAGAGGATGACCCAGATAACTTAATCGATGACATGTTGCCATCCGCTGAAGAGGAGGAAAGAGAGGA